GCCATAGTGACAGTATTGGGCAGTGTCACTCATCCTGTGAGTGGACACACCGCCATAGTGACAGTATTGGGCAGCGTCACTCATCCTGTGAGTGGACACACCGCCATAGTGACAGTATTGGGCAGCACCACTCATCCTGTGAGTGGACACACCGCCATAGTGACAGTATTGGGCAGCGTCACTCATCCTGTGAGTGGACACACCGCCATAGTGACAGTATTGGGCAGCGCCACTCATCCTGTGAGTGGACACACCGCCATAGCAGCATGTACAACACTCCCCAATAGGAAGAAAACCCGCTGGGTTGTTCATCCTGTCACTTGTACCCAGACACAGCTGGGACTTGCTTAACTGTCTCAAGTGAACATGTTATCAAACAAGAAGGCCCGACAAACCTCCTGAAGTTACAGCCAGAACCCAATTACTGCCAGAATGAACCCAATTACGGCCAGAGTGAACCCAATTACTGCCAGAATGAACCCAATTACGGCCAGAGTGAACCCAATTACTGCCAGAATGAATCCAATTACGGCCAAAGTGAGCCCAATTACGGCCAGAATGAACCCAATTACTGCCAGAGTGAACCCAATTACGGCCAGAATGAACCCAATTACGGCCAGAGTGAACCCAATTACGGCCAGAAAGAACCCAATTACGGCCAGAGTGAACCCAATTACGGCCAGAGTGAACCCAATTACGGCCAGAGTGAACCCAATTACGGCCAGAGGCCAATTACGGCCAGAATGAACCCAATTACTGCCAGAGTGAACCCAATTACGGCCAGAATGAACCCAATTACGGCCAGAGTGAACCCAATTACGGCCAGAGTGAACCCAATTACGGCCAGAGTGAACCCAATTACGGCCAGAGTGAACCCAATTACGGCCAGAGTGAACCCAATTACGGCCAGAGTGAACCCAATTACGGCCAGAATGAACCCAATTACGGCCAGAGTGAACCCAATTACGGCCAGAATGAACCCAATTACTGCCAGTGAACCCAATTTCTGCCAGTGAACCCAATTACGGCCAGTGAGCCCAATTAAGGGTAGATGTGTTACATAGTCACCAAACACACTGTAATGTCCAGGCCCAGGACTGGTCACAACGACTTACGAAACAAGTAGATCTTTTGTAAACTGTTTATTAAATAAAAACACAGTATTCATGATTGGGGGAGAAGATGCAACCCGTTCTCGCACTTGCTTATAGTCAATATTGGCTTATTAATAAGTGCATATGTGACATACTAATTTATTGTGAATATTTGAAGTTTATCTTGAGGTTATCTTGAGATGATTTCGGGGCTTTAGTGTCCCCGCGGCCCGGTCCTCGACCAGGCCTCCACCCCCAGGAAGCAGCCCGTGACAGCTTACTAACACCCAGGTACCTATTTACTGCTAGGTAACAGGGGCATTCTGGGTGAAAGAAACTTTGCCCATTTGTTTCTGCCTCGTGCGGGAATCGAACCCGCGCCACAGAATTACCAGTCCTGCGCGCTATCCACCAGGCTACGAGGCCCCCCGAGGTTTACCTTGAAAAGCTTCATAGAAAACACCGACCTCACCTAACCTTCTTAGTATGTTAAGATAAGCATTTTATTGCTTCATAATGACAATTAGTACTTAACCTATACCTATATTGATATTACAGTTTTATAAAAATATTAAAACAAAAACCAAAATATTTAAATAAATTGTAAAGCAACTCAGGATATTGCCAAATATTGTATAAAATCTCTATTGTATAATATAACTGACAAAGAAATTCCTTATATTAAAACTGGTCTTTAGCAAATCTATATAAAGAGTTTGTACCTTAAAAACAAAATATAACTTGGGATATACCACATATGTACTTATTAATCAGCCAAATAGTAACTATAAGCAATAAGTCATATATGTACTGTCTTGTGCGAGAGCGGGTTGCAAGATGTACAGGTTTCGGAAGTGGCCGGGTAAATGAACCCCAGCCAGAGCCATATTTTACTTATTATAATTTGCATCCGGCTCCAGCATGAAGTTAATAGTCTGTAGCAGGATATACTGACCCACAGCCAGGATATACTGACCCACAACCAGGATATACTGACCCACAGCCAGGATATACTGATCCACAGCCAGGATATACTGATCCACAGCCAGGATATACTGACCCACAGCCAGGATATACTGACCCACAGCCGGGATATACTGACCCACAGCCAGGATGTACTGACCCACAGCCAGGATATACTGACCCACAACCAGGATATACTGATCCACAGCCAGGATATACTGACCCACAGCCAGGATATACTGACCCACAGCCGGGATGCATTGACCCACAGCCGGGATGCACTGACCCACAGCCGGGATGCATTGACCCACAGCCGGGATATACTGACCCACAGCCGGGATATACTGACCCACAGCCGGGATATACTGACCCACAGCCGGGATATACTGACCCACAGCCGGGATATACTGACCCACAGCCGGGATATACTGACCCACAGCCGGGATATACTGACCCACAGCCAGGATATACTGACCCACAGCCAGGATATACTGACCCACAGCCAGGATATACTGATCCACAGCCAGGATATACTGACCCACAGCCAGGATATACTGATCCACAGCCAGGATATACTGACCCACAGCCGGGATATACTGATCCACAGCCAGGATATACTGATCCACAGCCAGGATATACTGATCCACAGCCAGGATATACTGACCCACAGCCAGGATATACTGACCCACAGCCAGGATATACTGACCCACAGCCGGGATATACTGACCCACAGCCGGGATATACTGACCCACAGCCGGGATATACTGACCCACAGCCGGGATATACTGACCCACAGCCGGGATATACTGACCCACAGCCAGGATATACTGACCCACAGCCAGGATATACTGACCCACAGCCAGGATATACTGACCCACAGCCAGGATATACTGACCCACAGCCAGGATATACTGACACAGCCAGGATATACTGACCCACAGCCGGGATATACTGACCCACAGCCAGGAAATACTGACCCACAGCCAGGATATACTGACCCACAGCCAGGATATACTGACCCACAGCCAGGATATACTGACCCACAGCCAGGATATACTGACCCACAGCCAGGATATACTGACCCACAGCCAGGATATACTGACCCACAGCCAGGATATACTGACCCACAGCCAGGATATACTGACCCACAGCCAGGATATACTGACCCACAGCCGGGATATACTGACCCACAGCCGGGATATACTGACCCACAGCCGGGATATACTGACCCACAGCCAGGATATACTGACCCACAGCCAGGATATACTGACCCACAGCCAGGATATACTGACCCACAGCCAGGATATACTGACCCACAGCCAGGATATACTGATCCACAGCCAGGATATACTGACCCACAGCCAGGATATACTGACCCACAGCCAGGATATACTGACCCACAGCCAGGATATACTGACCCACAGCCAGGATATACTGACCCACAGCCAGGATATACTGACCCACAGCCAGGATATACTGACCCACAGCCAGGATATACTGACCCACAGCCAGGATATACTGACCCACAGCCAGGATATACTGACCCACAGCCAGGATATACTGACCCACAGCCAGGATATACTGACCCACAGCCAGGATATACTGACCCACAGCCAGGATATACTGACCCACAGCCAGGATATACTGACCCACAGCCAGGATATACTGACCCACAGCCAGGTTATACTGACCCACAGCCAGGATATACTGACCCACAGCCAGGATATACTGACCCACAGCCGGGATATACTGACCCACAGCCAGGATATACTGACCCACAGCCAGGATATACTGACCCACAGCCAGGATATACTGACCCACAGCCAGGATATACTGACCCACAGCCGGGATATACTGACCCACAGCCAGGATATACTGACCCACAACCAGGATATACTGACCCACAGCCAGGATATACTGACCCACAGCCAGGATATACCAGTTCCTTAGGTTATTAGGGACCGTCCCTTCCCCTATTAAGGCCTTAGGCCCTGACTGGCCCTTGCGTCCTTAGGCACGACCTTTTGTTAGGCCTAGTTGGTTGATTGGTCAGGGGGTGCCCCAGAGGGTAGGCCTACTCTCCCCGTTGGTCAGGGGGTGCCCCAGAGGGTAGGCCTACTCTCCCCGTTGGTCAGGGGGTGCCCCAGAGGGTAGGCCTACTCTCCCCGTTGGTCAGGGAGTGCCCCAGAGGGTAGGCCTACTCTCCCCGTTGGTCAGGGGGTGCCCCAGAAGGTAGGCCTACTCTCCCCGTTGGTCAGGGGGTGCCCCAGAAGGTAGGCCTACTCTCCCCGTTGGTCAGGGGGTGCCCCAGAGGGTAGGCCTACTCTCCCCGTTGGTCAGGGGGTGCCCCTAGGGGCGGGGCTCAGGGCACGCTGGGCTTATCTCAAGAACTTGATCTAGTGTGGAGTTGAACTTTGTGTGGAGGCCTGGTCGAGGACCGGGCCGCGGGGACGTTGAGCCCCGAAATCACTGCAAGGTGGAGGGGGGGGAGCCATCCCCAGGGGAGGGACAGCAAGCTGCACGGCTGCACTGTTGCACATTGAAGCGAATTATTGTTACTTGGGCTTCCTTTTTATTATTATTATTGTCTACCACAGACGTGGCCAGACATTTACAATGCTAACCAGCATATATACATTTTCTTCTGTCCTCCATGGACAGGGTTAGAGATGTGTTAAACATATAGTTCAAGGGTTTATTGAACACTCAACCACAGAAGGTGATTCGGTGCTTTTAAAATGCTAAGCTAACCTACATACGTAAATACATAGATACACAGATTTACGTATGCCTTACATAAAGTGTTTGATGTGTCTTTTACATAGTGTCATTAATGTGCATTTACAAAGGTGAAATGTAATTCTCATCAGCTTCCATATATACTTTATACACATACATACGCACACATACATATTTATGGCTCTCCCACTCTGACAAGGTAAGATGTCAGGGTGCCCCACAAAGACACCTCCAACGCCACAAAAGGAACCTCCAACGCCACAAAAGCTACACCAACGCCACAAAAGCTACACCAACGCCACAAAAGCAACCTCCAACGCCACAAAAGCTACACCAACGCCACAAAAGCAACCTCCAACGCCACAAAAGCTACACCAACGCCACAAAAGCAACCTCCAACGCCACAAAAGCAACCCCCAACGCCACAAAAGCAACCTCCAACGCCACAAAAGCAACCTCCAACGCCACAAAAGCAACCTCCAACGCCACAAAAGCAACCTCCAACGCCACAAAAGCAACCCCCAACGCCACAAAAGCAACCTCCAACGCCACAAAAGCAACCTCCAACGCCACAAAAGCAACCCCCAACGCCACAAAAGCAACCTCCAACGCCACAAAAGCAACCTCCAACGCCACAAAAGCAACCTCCAACGCCACAAAAGCAACCTCCAACGCCACAAAAGCAACCTCCAACGCCACAAAAGCAACCTCCAACGCCACAAAAGCTACACCAACGCCACAAAAGCAACCTCCAACGCCACAAAAGCAACCTCCAACGCCACAAAAGCTACACCAACGCCAGAAAAGCTACACCAACGCCACAAAAGCAACCTCCAACGCCACAAAAGCTACACCAACGCCACAAAAGCAACCTCCAACGCCACAAAAGCTACACCAACGCCACAAAAGCAACCTCCAACGCCACAAAAGCAACCCCCAACGCCACAAAAGCAACCTCCAACGCCACAAAAGCAACCTCCAACGCCACAAAAGCAACCTCCAACGCCACAAAAGCAACCTCCAACGCCACAAAAGCAACCTCCAACGCCACAAAAGCAACCCCCAACGCCACAAAAGCTACACCAACGCCACAAAAGCAACCTCCAACGCCACAAAAGCTACACCAACGCCACAAAAGCAACCTCCAACGCCACAAAAGCAACCCCCAACGCCACAAAAGCAACCTCCAACGCCACAAAAGCAACCTCCAACGCCACAAAAGCAACCTCCAACGCCACAAAAGCAACCTCCAACGCCACAAAAGCAACCCCCAACGCCACAAAAGCTACACCAACGCCACAAAAGCAACCCCCAACGCCACAAAAGCAACCTCCAACGCCACAAAAGCTACACCAACGCCACAAAAGCAACCTCCAACGCCACAAAAGCAACCTCCAACGCCACAAAAGCAACCCCCAACGCCACAAAAGCAACCTCCAACGCCACAAAAGCAACCTCCAACGTCACAAAAGCTACACCAACGCCACAAAAGCAACCTCCAACGCCACAAAAGCAACCCCCAACGCCACAAAAGCAACCTCCAACGCCACAAAAGCAACCTCCAACGCCACAAAAGCAACCCCCAACGCCACAAAAGCAACCTCCAACGCCACAAAAGCAACCTCCAACGCCACAAAAGCAACCCCCAACGCCACAAAAGCAACCTCCAAACGCCACAAAAGCAACCTCCAACGCCACAAAAGCAACCCCCAACGCCACAAAAGCAACCTCCAACGCCACAAAAGCAACCTCCAACGCCACAAAAGCTACACCAACGCCACAAAAGCAACCTCCAACGCCACAAAAGCAACCCCCAACGCCACAAAAGCAACCTCCAACGCCACAAAAGCAACCTCCAACGCCACAAAAGCAACCCCCAACGCCACAAAAGCAACCCCCAACGCCACAAAAGCAACCCCCAACGCCACAAAAGCTACACCAACGCCACAAAAGCAACCCCCAACGCCACAAAAGCAACCTCCAACGCCACAAAAGCTACACCAACGCCACAAAAGCAACCTCCAACGCCACAAAAGCAACCTCCAACGCCACAAAAGCAACCCTCAACGCCACAAAAGCAACCCCCAACGCCACAAAAGCAACCTCCAACGCCACAAAAGCAACCTCCAACGCCACAAAAGCTACACCAACGCCACAAAAGCAACCTCCAACGCCACAAAAGCTACACCAACGCCACAAAAGCAACCTCCAACGCCACAAAAGCAACCTCCAACGCCACAAAAGCTACCTCCAACGCCACAAAAGCAACCTCCAACGCCACAAAAGCAACCTCCAACGCCACAAAAGCAACCTCCAACGCCACAAAAGCACCCTCCAACGCCACAAAAGCACCCTCCAACGCCACAAAAGCACCCTCCAACGCCACAAAAGCACCCTCCAACGCCACAAAAGCAACCTCCAACGCCACAAAAGCACCCTCAAACGCCACAAAAGCACCCTCCAACGCCACAAAAGCACCCTCCAACGCCACAAAAGCAACCTCCAACGCCACAAAAGCAACCTCCAACGCCACAAAAGCAACCTCCAACGCCACAAAAGCAACCTCCAACGCCACAAAAGCAACCTCCAACGCCACAAAAGCAACCTCCAACGCCACAAAAGCAACCTCCCAACGCCTGGATGGAATAAAAAGGTTAAGTCAGCCAGAGAGTTGATCAAGTGAGTGAGCAAGTCATCACTCACCGCTGAGTCACAGGCCGGCGGTGAGTAACGCCCACCTTAACGTCTGGCGTTCCTACCTACGCCCACGGTGAGTCACCTACGGCCACGGTGAGTCACCTACGGCCCACGGTGAGTCACCTACGGCCCACGGTGAGTCACCTACGCCCACGGTGAGTCACCTACGCCCACGGTGAGTCACCTACGTCCCACGGTGAGTCACCTACGCCCACGGTGAGTCACCTACGCCCACGGTGAGTCACCTACGGCCCCACGGTGAGTCACCTACGCCCACGGTGAGTCACCTCCGTCCCACGGTGAGTCACCTACGCCCACGGTGAGTCACCTACGTCCCACGGTGAGTCACCTACGGCCCACGGTGAGTCACCTACGCCCACGGTGAGTCACCTCCGGCCCCACGGTGAGTCACCTACGGCCCCACGGTGAGTCACCTACGCCCACGGTGAGTCACCTACGTCCCACGGTGAGTCACCTACGTCCCACGGTGAGTCACCGTGGGACCGTAGGCACCCGGTGAGTCAGAGGGGGGCTGTAGTCCCCAGCACACACCCAGGGAATGACATCCCCTTAGGTAGTATTACCTGGTTGATGGGGTTCCGGGAGTTGTTCTACTCCCCAAGCCCGGCCCGAGGCCAGGCTTGACTTGTGAGAGTTTGGTCCACCAGGCTGTTGGTTGATACCTGGTTGATGGGGTTCTGGGAGTTGTTCTACTCCCCAAGCCCGGCCCGAGGCCAGGCTTGACTTGTGAGAGTTTGGTCCACCAGGCTGTTGGTTGATACCTGGTTGATGGGGTTCTGGGAGTTGTTCTACTCCCCAAGCCCGGCCCGAGGCCAGGCTTGACTTGTGAGAGTTTGGTCCACCAGGCTGTTGGTTGATACCTGGTTGATGGGGTTCTGGGAGTTGTTGTTCTCCCCAAGCCCGGCCCGAGGCCAGGCTTGACTTGTGAGAGTTTGGTCCACCAGGCTGTTGGTTGATACCTGGTTGATGGGGTTCTGGGAGTTCTTCTACTCCCCAAGCCCGGCCCGAGGCCAGGCTTGACTTGTGAGAGTTTGCCCACCAGGCTGTTGCTTGCAGCGGCCCGCAGGCCCACATACCCATCACAGCCCGGTTGGTCCGGCACTTTTTTTTTATGAAAACAATCTAGTTTCCTCTTGAAGATGTCCACGGTTGTTCCGGCAATATTTCTTATAGTCGCTGGGAGGACGTTGAACAACCGCGGACCTCTGATGTTTATACAGTGTTCTCTGATTGTACCTATGGCACCTCTGCTCTTCACTGGTTCTATTCTGCATTTTCTTCCATATCGTTCACTCCAGTATGTGGTTATTTTACTGTGTAGATTTGGAACCTGTCCCTCCAGTATCTTCCATGTGTATATTATTTGGTATCTCTCTCGTCTCCTTTCTAGTGAGTACATTTGGAGAGCTTTGAGACTATCCCAATAATTTAGGTGCTTTATCTCGTCTATGCGTGCCGTATATGTTCTCTGTATTCCCTCTATTTCAGCAATCTCTGCTGCTCTGAAGGGGGAAGTGAGTACTGAGCAGTACTCAAGACGGGACAACACAAGTGACTTGAAGAGTACAACCATTGTGATGGGATCCCTGGATTTGAAAGTTCTCGTAATCCATCCGATCATTTTTCTGGCTGTCGCAATATTTGCTTGGTTATGCTCCTTAAACGTTAGGTCGTCAGACATCATTATTCCAAAATCGTTTACATTTTGCTTTCCTACTATGGGCAGATTTGATTGTATTTTGTACCCTGTATTATGTTTAAGGTCCTCATTTTTACCGTACCTGAGTACCTGGAATTTATCACTGTTAAACATCATGTTATTTTCTGATGCCCAGTCGAAAACTTTACTGGTATGTGCTTGTAGGTTTTCAATGTCTTCAATGTTAATGGCTCATCCTGCTGGAGTGGGGTGGGGGGTGGGGGCTTTTTCCCCTTCTCGAGGGTGTGGGGGAGCAGTTGGGAAAGGGAGATAGGGTGGGAGAGGGGGGGAGGGAAAGTGATGGGAGAGGGGGTAAGGGAAAGGGGGGGGGTAAGGGAGAGGGGGGGGGTAAGGGAGAGGGGGGGGGTAAGGGAGAGGGGGGGTAAGGGAGAGAGGGGGGTAAGGGAGAGGGGGGGGGGTAAGGGAGAGGGGGGGGGGTAAGGGGGGGCAGTTGTCTAAGAGGGCCCACGTGTAAAGTCATGACCGTCGTAGCCAGGACAATTATATTTATGGTCACTGATGAAATAATCACACTTGAGACTTTCTCCTCCCCACCGCTTCCCTCACCCGCCCACCGCTTCCCTCACCCTCCCCACAGCTTCCCTCACCCTCCCCTCTGGGAGTCTGGGAGCCGGTCGGCCGAGCGGACAGCATGCTGGACTTGTGATCCTGTAGTCCCGGGGTCGATCCCAGGCGCCGACGAGAAACAATGTGCAGAGTTTCTTTCACCCTATGCCAAATGAACAGGCACATGCAAATGACCTGCTACGGATGTGCGACATGTTTGCCTTAAACCAGCAAATAGTAGAACCAACTAGGAAGGAGAACACGCTGGACCTCATTTTCACTAATAATGATGAATTGATCAGGAACATAATGATTACAAATACCTGTTACTCAGATCACAACTTAATTGAAGTTCTGACGGCCATGGAAAGTAGACGTGCCCAACCAGTCCCGTGCCCCAGGGGAGGAGTAATTAGCAAATTCAACTTTAATAATAAACAGATTAAGTGGACGGCGTTCCCTCTATAGGTTCCGTCCCCCCCTTTTTTTGGGGGGGGGGGGGGGGAGTAAAGAGGAAGGAGAGGCATAGGTGAAGGGAAGTATAGAAGTGGGAAATACAGTGAGAGGTATGAAAGCCGGCGGGCTGTCCGCCTTGCTGACTTCCCTCCCTTCAGTCTGTCTTCGTACCTCATCCCTCGCAGCTCTGGGACGAGTCTCGTTGCAAACTTAAGCACCTTTTCGAGCTTCCTTGTAGGTTTTTCAAGATGGGGGGCTCCCGATGGGGCGGCATACTTTAAGACACGTACGTGCGTGCGTGCGTGTGTGTGTGTGTGTGTGTGTGTGTGTGTGTGTGTGTGTGTGTGTGTGTACTCACCTAATTGTACAGGTTCCTGAGCCTATTGGGCTCTATCATATCTACACTTGAAACTATGTATGGACTCAGCCTCCACCACATCACTTCCTAATGCATTCCATTTGTCAACCTCTCTGACACTAAAAAAGTTCTTTCTAATATCTCTGTGGCTCATTTGGGCACTCAGTTTCCACCTGTGTCCCCTTGTGCGTGTGCCCTTGTGTTAAATAGCTTGTCTTTATCTACCCTATCAATTCCCTTGAGAATCTTGAATGTGGTGATCATGTCCCCCCGAACTCTTCTGTCTTCCAACGAAGTGAGGTTTAATTCCCGTAGTCTCTCCTCGTAGCTCTTACCTCTCAGCTCGGGTACTAGTCTGGTGGCAAACCTTTGAACCTTTTCCAGTTTAGTCTTATGCTTGAAGTATTTAGTCGTGTGTGTGTGTGTACTCACCTAATTGTACTCACCTAATTGTGCTTGCGGGGGTTGAGCTCTGGCTCTTTGGTCCCGCCTCTCAACCGTCAATCAACTGGTGTACAGATTCCTGAGCCTATTGGGCTCTATCATATCTACATTTGAAGCTGTGTATGGAGTCAGCCTCCACCACATCACTTCCTAATGCATTCCATTTACTAACTACTCTGACACTGAAAAAGTTCTTTCTAACGTCTCTGTGGCTCATTTGGGTACTCAGCTTCCACCTGTGCCCCCTTGTTCGCGTCCCACCAGTGTTGAATAGTTCATCCTTGTTTACCCGGTCGATTCCCCTGAGGATTTTGTAGGTTGTGATCATGTCCCCCCTTACTCTTCTGTCTTCCAGTGTCGTAAGGTGCATTTCCTGTGTGTGTGTGTGTGTACTCACCTATATGTACTCACCTATATGTGCTTGCAGGATCGAGCATTGACTCTTTGATCCCGCCTTTCTAGCTATCGGTTGTTTACAGCAATGACTCCTGTCCCATTGTGTGTGTGTGTGTGTGTGTGTGTGTGTGTGTGTGTGTGTGTGTGTGTGTGTGTGTGTGTGTGTGTGTGTGTGTGTACTCACCTAGTTGTGTTTGCGGGGGTTGAGCTCTGGCTCTTTGGTCCCGCCTCTTAACCGTCAATCAACAGGTATGTTGTGTGTGTGTGTGTGTGTGTGTGTGTGTGTGTGTGTGTGTGTGTGTGTGTGTGTGTGTGTGTGTGTGTGTGTGTGTGTGTGTGTATGTGTGTGTGTGTGTGTGTGTGTGTGCGCGCGCGCGCGCGCGGTGGGAGAAGGGGGGGGGAGTAAGACCCATGAGCCACCTAATGTTTTTGTTTATAACATTCGTTGAAAAAGTTTGACTGACCTGAATTCTTGCGAAAACAGCTATCGTGTTTTGAGCCCATCACACACACACACACACACACACACACACACACACACACACACACACACACACACACACACACACACACACACAGTGAGTCAGATTACAAGTGTTCGATACATTCATTGTTGTGTAGCAGCCCGTCCTCCAAACAAAGACCCAAAGACCATTCCATCCACCCGCCAAACCCCCAGGTGTTTATGAATGACAAACGGTTTACACACGACTCACAACTGCTGACGTTCGAACACTTCCGGAACAAGTGCTTCACTGACGACTTGTGTTCGAACCACAACGCTGTAAATGCTTCACCCACGTACTACAAATACAAATAATCGCCAACAGAACCTAAACACCTAACCTATCCTATGCCTATATATGCACAATATGCTAATATATTATAATATTAATTTATAGTTGAGAAAATTCCCGTTTTGAATGAACAGCATGTTAAAATTTATGAATGCGTCTGTGGGGTCGACCGCTGGATGTAATGGACTTGAGTCGAGGACGGGTTGTGTGTAGT